ACAAAGTGCTACCAGGTGTAACGGGGCACACCCTTGCGTGAACTTAACGCAAGGGTTTCGGTACCCCGACAGACGTACACGTGGCAAGCGAGGAAGCGTAGGTAGGGTAAAAGCAGAACTGTTATATTAATATAATTAAGTGTTTAACCACTGTCTCTCTGTTTGACTTAACTTAATTATACTAATATAACTGAGTGTATGGTGACGTCTCGTCACCACTCATTGCGCGCGACCTGCGGCGATTGGTTGGTTGATATCATCAAGATATCAACCAATGAGCAGACCCTTTATCGCTTCACCAATATCACCACTATCGGTGATATTGTTCAAAGAATATTCAACTTAATAATCTTTATTGTCACTTTCCTTAAAGTGACAATTCCATGTAACGGGCTGCCCCGTTACAGAGCTCGTCTGTTATTTCAGATGCTGTTTAGAAGTCAGCACAAACTTGTTTCGTCTAATGTCAATTGATCGTCCCTCTTTCCAGATTTTGGGATACTGCATCAACCAGTTAGGACCACTACTTTCGTGGTCTAGATGGGCATCTCGGATCGGTCGATGTGTTTCTATCGGACCGAGCCAACGCAGCTGTCGCAATGCGCCGGCAGGATGAGTTGGTCGACTGCTAGAACCCAGGACATCTACCTCACAACCAGGCTCTCTCGCGGCATTGACTTCCTCAAGCATCCTGCTATAGCTTCTGTGGGTGTACTCTCCTCAATGAGCGTGTTTTCTCGAGCCTACAATCGGTAAACAGCATGCACATCGACCCACTCTATTCGATTTAGCCTATGCTGTAACGTGGCACCGTTGACTACGTACTGGTTGACCAGTACGGAGTATATTTCCACTGACGACAGTGGTTGACAGTGCCCTGCTAGGTGTTGAAGGAACACAGAGGAAGGAAAGGAGACTAAGTAGCCAGACTAGGCTCTTGTAAAAGTAAAACTGTATTAATATAATTAAGTCCTATAACTTCTTGAATCTCTGTTGTCCTGACTTAATCATACTAATATAACTAAATGTATGGTGACGTCTACTCACCACCCATTGCGCGCGTCTAGCAGCGATTGGTGGGTTGATATCATCACGATATCAACCGATGAGTAGACCCTTCCGTCATCTCAACAATATCACCATGTCTGTGATATTGTTAAAAAAATATTCGACGTGATATTCTTTATTGTCAAATTGTTTTAATGACAATCTCATGTAACGGGATACCCCGTTACATACGCAGTCGACAGTACGACTACGTTTGATGCTTGGGCACCTTTTGCTCATTTGGATTGCTCATCGCAAAACCCCATCCACGTCAAACAGGCCCGACAAAGGAAAGCCAGAATTATCGACATATCGCCATGCGGCGATTGAAGCCGTCTATAGCGCCCATACACTTGTGGCGTCCGCTCAAACTCTCGTCAACACCTCTACTCTCGACACAATCGGCTGGTCAGCATGATATCTACATCAGACCTGTGTCATCTTCTTTGTTGGACTTGTGTGTCAATCTTCTGTGTCAGTGGACGGTCGTGGCAGCGCACGCCACCCTTTTGCCCCGCTTTCCTCCCCGAACGACGCCAATCAACCCGAGTGTCGATTCTGCCCCTGTGGCATGTGACAAGCGCGCGATCCACTTTCTTGTCGACCGATCGAGTCAGGCTATCGGCGCAGAAAAGATGCCACTTGCGGCCGTGCCAGGTGGTTGGGATTTGCCAGGTGGTTGGGATTTACCAAGTTGTCCTATTGTACTACACTTGTGAGCAGAGATCGTTCAGCCTGACCGCCTGCTTAGCGATGTCATTCCACCTCGTGAGTCTCATTACTTGGCTTGGAGACCGGTACCGACGCACCCTCTCCAGGATCAAGAGATCATCAGTAAGCTTCTTCAACATACCGGGTACCTGAACGCTTTTTTGGATGCACAATCGGCTCTACGCACACCGGGTGTCGTCCAGTCGTAGAAGGAATTGATTGCCGGTCAAGCTGCGGGCATAGTCAATCAAAAACGGTACGAACGTGCCCATTTTCGTCTTCTCGACTTGGATAGTACTGCTTCACGGTTGAGCCAAAGATGGGGGACGTGCGCCCCGTTGTTGGCGGATGGATTAGATTAGCCTTCAGTACAAACGGCGAATCGGCCGAGCGAATAGCTGCCACGCACACCGGGTCGGATGCGTCGACGACGACGACGGCATCAAAGGTTTTCGAAGGACCAGCAGGCAGAACCGCACCCGTCTTTGATTTGCATCGGCAACAACTGTCTTGACTGAGGGCGTTTGACAATATACAGTTGACGCTTCGTGGCATGCACTCCGACCCGTCCGCGCAAGCGCTTCCTGTGAATCCTGCAGCGAGCCACCGTTGAGATTGATTGCACATGTTTACGCGACGACGTTGCATCCCCCATCCCGCGACAGCAAGCATAAAGTGCTGCACACGATGACGTAGAAACGCCGCACGCAACTTCGTCACGAAGAAGCAGCTCCGTTTGGCACTGTTATTGCTAGATCGTGCACATGTCCCTTGTCGTCAAGCTGTGGTGCGTGTCATGTCTATGGCTTAGACGGCCAGAGGCGCTCTAAATAGTTGACGTCGAGTTGTATGTTTCCCGAAAACAATCGGCCGATTTACCAGAACCCGTCTCTCTGCCCTAGGCATACTGAACGCTACACGATGGATCTCTCTCTTTCTCTCTCTCTCGCTGAAGCGCGCAAGTACGACAATAACTTCATTCCCGCAAAACCTTATCCTACAAATCGTAGCCACAGGCACACAAAGTCGACAGATCGAAGATTACCTGAGTGCAGTATTTCCTAACCGACGCATTACGATTCACGCACAGTCGCACGGTTATGCACTTCAGTGTACCGTATCCTCGCGCGTATCCAATGATTGGCTGCCCATTCCTGCTATCCGGGAAGCTCGACGATGGCCACCAACAAAGACAGGCTCTCGTTGCGGTACGGATCGTCCAGTTTTTTTTGTGCTGCTTTGCATCTTACGATCGAGCAAACTCGAGCCAATGTCGTAGCACCTCGTCTACTGCCCATCCAGCCAATACAGCCGGGCCAGTGTATCCACACACACACATACATACATACATACATACATACATACATACATACATACATACATACATACATACATACATACATACATACATACATACATACATACATACATACATACATACATACATACATACATACATACATACATACATACATACATACATACATACATACATACATACATACATACATACATACATACATACATACATACCACAGGTCCAGGATTTGCACCGTGAAGAGACCGCCGAAATCTATCGCCCTGTTGCAATCCATTGTCTCAAGTCGATGGGAGCAGCTCATCGTCGGTCGTCATCAACGACACACGAAGTGCACATTGACCGTGTCTCGCGTGACTCGGATCGACTCGGGCCAAGTCGACTCGAGTCGCGCTGCTGCTCCACTGTCATTTCTCAATTCGCCTCATTGGTCCTTCACACCCTTCGGCCACTTGCGTCCTGCCCCTCTTCACGCTAAGATGGTAGCGCTCATCTCTCGGACGCTGTCGCTCGTCTCGGCAGCAGTCACGATCTCAAGTGCGCTCGCGATGGCCCCACCATCGAAAACGCCGTTCGCAGCAAACGTCGCCCAGACGACTACTGTCAACTCGACCGCTCGACTGCAGGCGTTCGAGTACTGCATGGACAGCTCGGCGCCCGACAAGACCAAAGACTCTGTCACGACGAACGTCAACTTGTTCGTCGAGCAGTCGCCGCTGTACGAAGACTTTGCCACGGGCCCCAAAGCCCGTATCGCGCGGAGACCGCTCGGCGTGTACCTCGCCCAGAGCGAAGCCGACGTGGTCCGCGCGGTCAAGTGCTCCGTCAGCAACGGCCTCGCGCCCGTTCCCCGCAGCGGCGGCCACTCGTACGAAGTCCTCTCGTCCATGGACGGCTCGCTGGTCATCGACATGGCCGACATGGTCCAAGTCGCCATCGTGGCGGAGAACCCACTCGAGCACTCGGCGCTCGTCACGGTGCAGACGGGGGCGCGACTGGGCTGGATCCACACGGAGCTCGACCGCCTGGGTGGCGGCTACAGCTTAGTCGCTGGCACGTGCCCGACGGTGGGCATTGGCGGCCACGTCTCTGGCGGGGGTTACGGCATGATCAGCCGCCACTTTGGCCTGGCAGCCGACCACACGGTCGCGATGCGCGTGGTCCTGTACGACGGCTCCGTGGTCACAGCGTCCGCGACGGAGCACCCGGACCTGTTCTGGGCCCTGCGCGGCGGCGGCGCCGGCTCCTTCGGCATCGTCACGCTCTTCACGCTCAAGGCCTACGCGCTGCCGCAGGTCTCCGTCTTCAACATCCACTTCGACACCAGCGCGCGCGCCCAAGTCCTGCGCGCGTGGATGGACTTTTTCCCCACGGCCGACTCGCGCGTCACGACGCAGCTCAACTTTGAGCGACAGGGCGCGCGCTTGACGGGCCACTTTTTGGGCACCAAGGCCGAGCTGGACGCGCTGCTGGACGCTTCGGGCCTCTTGACCCTCAGCGGCTTGACCGCGCAGGAGCGGCTGTCCAACTGCTCGCAGCTCGCGATCAAAGCGTTCGCGTGGAAGTCCACGTGCGACGACCTGAGCTCGCTCAACGTCCCGCGCCACCTGACGGTCGCCGACAAGGACTACGGCAAGATCAAGGCCGGCTACGCGACCGCCGTGCTGGACGACGCGGGCGTGCAGACGGTGATCGAGTGGGCCGACCGCCTGCCCAGCTCCGCGCCGTCCGTGCTCATCCAGTTCCAGGCCTACGGCGGCGTCTTTGCCACACAGGCGAACGACATGACGCCGTGGGCCCACCGCAACGCCGTGTGGTCCGTGCAGGTCGTCGTCGGCGCGAAAAAGGGCGAGTCGGAAGACTCGGCGTCGTACCAGTGGATCCGCGGCATGCTCGGGGCGCTCGGCAAGTACTTGGACGGCGGCAACTACCAGAACTACTGCGACTTGGACCTGGGCGCGGAGTTTGGCACGCGGTACTGGGGCGCCGCCAACTTTGCCCAGCTGCGCCAGATCAAGGCGCGCTACGACCCGCTGAACGTGTTCCACAGCGCCCAGTCGGTGCCGCTGCCGTGAAGAGCTCCGTCGCTCGCCACAGCGCGTTCATGGCTACAGTGGACGCGCTTGACAAGACGATCCAGTGCGGTGTTAGTGCGTTAGAAATGACTGGCTGCTCGGTAATAATGCACGCATTGGATACTTTGATTTTGCTGCGTAAACACGTACTTGGGAATGAAGGGGTTCATCGTGTGCGTGTGTGTATACTTTGCAAGCGAGGTCTGTCTGTATACGTCGCAAACGGAGCAAATCCAGAACCCAGCAGTCGATATTGCAAAAAAACAGAATCCAGCACCATTTCTGAGACGAGCCCACGCGGAACACAAAGAATGGGGACCACACTATTTGTTTGTGTGGTTGGTTAGTAAAGTGAAGTCCATGTGCGAAACATAAAATCAAATCACGAAGATGTATCCCAAAACGGCGAAGATCGACATGAAAGAGATTTACGGACCAATGTTCTGTCGAAGGGACACATTTTCTAGACGGGCGCTGTAACGGGGTGATTCCGTTGCATAAACATTAATAGAAAGTATCAATTTTTGAGTTTTATCTATTTTGATAATATTCATCCAACATCACCCGAGAAGAGGTGATGTTGTCAAAATATTACCCCCAAGGGTAATATTTGTGGGTGCTCCACTTCTTGGTTGATGTAACATCTACGTCAACCAAATTAACCACCAATCGCTGCTGGACGCACGCAATGGGTGGTGAGCAAGAGACTTACATAGGAGATTGTAGTTTGATATAGTTAGCTCAAGACAAAATATGATTTAGTAAGAAGCTTAACTACATTAAATACAGCTCTACTTTTTCCCTTAGACAGAGCTTTCGAGCTCTGCCTACTTCGCTGCGCTTCCTCACGCCACGTGTACGTAACATTGGTTGCACACAACCTTGTCTTGAATTGACACAAGGCGTACCCCGTTACAGGCGCTGCTGCAACTATGTCTGTACAGGACTACTGTGTTGATCAAAATCGACAGTGCAAGGTCAAGAGGTGTAGGGTGGAAGCAAAACGTATGTGTGCCCACAAGACGAGTGCCCGTGGGAACTCTGCGTGACGAGGCGACAGCGGAAGGGTGCGTTTTCTGAGCACTACATTTCACCGCTAAACGACAGTCATTCGGATGTATACATCGCGACTGCCAAGCCTTCATCATGGCAAATCAAACTTCTTGCTACTTTAAATGCTGCGGTTCGAGGTGACAAGGGCATTAAGCGCAAGGCAATTGTGACGCTATTCCGCGTCCGTGACAGAACTAACCACCAAAAGTATCGAACCAAGACATAAGAATCCAAAAAGTGGTCATTAAAGTGATGTGAGGCGAATGGAAATCATCTTTTGAGCTTCTAGCCCCGCATTTGCATTAAGGCGTGTCAACCGATCCACCACTGTGGCGCTCGAAGTGGACCAAAAGAATCGATCTTTACGCTTGTTTGTGGCCTTTGAAGTGTCTGTTAGCAGCCACCCTTATAATGACATAGAAGGACGTGTGGTACTGAAAAGAGTCTGTCCAACAGGATATTGAATTGCAAAAGCATTTTAAAGCAAAGCCAATTGACTTAAGTGACGCGATATACTGTGAATCCGGCGTCAGTCTTCGTGGCGAATACAGTGATGTCCGACACAACCTCAGACGATGCCACCCGCGTGGATCCATTGCCTTCATACTCAATTGCACGTGCTGTGCATAGTTTTTACAAGTCATAAATACAGCAATAAATTTGCTATAACATGGCTCTAAATACGCTTGCTATATGTTGTTATATTATAACCTCCTTATTGCTTACATGCACAGAACACAACATGGATAACACATTGGCGGGTGCAAACGCAACGGTCTCTGAAATGACAGGTACTTCTACCTGCACTTGCGGACAATGCTTGCTTCGATCATGGAGCTTCCTATATGTTGCTTCCACATAGTCATCACATCGCGCCTTCCGTCTGAGCTCGGCGTTCAATGATCGAGGCGTTATGGCGCTATTTCTGGCCTTCTCCTCGTTTTACAGCTTGCTTAGCCCTTCTATCCGATCCCTGGTGGTAAAACAAGTAGCAACGACGTCAGAACCACTTCATACGTACATTAGGACTGGCACTGACTCTTCTTAATCGACTTGCAAAAAGGATCAAAATGATGCTTTCATGATCTTGAAAACGTCCTTCCTATTACACGTTGCAGGAATTAATGAAAACAGCGATTTATGGCACACCAAATAGGGTCAAAACAAATTGAATTACGGAGTACGTCGACTTCCGTCCGTACACACCGTATGGTGGGTTGTCTGCAATCCGCTGATCGCGCGCTGCTTTCCCTCCCCCGTCACGTGCACAGAAATTTGCATTTACTCGTTAACATTTTCTTCTATCACGTGCAGAGAAACTAACATCCACTCTTATACCTTATCACCACAGAGATTGCTTCCCGCGATAATGAGAGATCCAACGCCGGGCAACACAGAGGCCTCCGTCCTTCTTCGTAGGCTATTGTGGGTGTCGCCAAATGAGCAGTTGGCCGTCCGTTTGCCAAATAAAGTGTGCACGATGACATCGTATCGACGGTTCTTTAAATTGTAAAGTCTCGTAACCAATCACGCACTTTCATACAATATGGCAGTTGGGAATAGTGTGGTACCCATTAATTGTGTTCTGCGTGGGTTTGTCGCAGAAATGGTGCTGGATTCTGGCCTACAAATCTACTGCTAGATTCTAGATTTGCTCTCGCAAACGAGGTGAATCTATCTGTATACATCTGAAGAATGTGTTGAGATGCTACCCACCCATACACCCCTTTCTGTCTTTTGACACTACGAGAGAGAGGAACAGACTGTCTATTATACGGTGTTATGGTGTACAAGACGTCTGGAAGGCCCTATGCCAGGTTAGCAACGACGTTGTCGGATGATTCGGTGGTTACACGTAACTCATCGCTGTGTGCAGTGCTCTAGACGAGATATGGTGAGCAGCCCGATGTATTGCATTAAGCGAGTACCGGCCACCCGTGTGTGTAGCTGTCTGCGCTCCCGTACCACCAATGCGTGTAATTGCCGAAAAATGTGAAGTGTGAATTCGTGGATACAATCCAATCGAGTGACGATACGTCTCTCGTGAACGAGCTGATTGCGATGGGCACATAGGGTCGTGATACATATGGAACATAACACCCACAACATCACCTTCCACTGACAGACGTACACCGCCATGTAATGTCTGAACGCGCTCAGCAGCCGCCGGGAAATGACCGGGGAAAACGGTGGAGACCTCCGTGACATGCAAAAACTCGCATATAGCTGTAAACTGGCCGGGGATCTCGTGCATCCGGTTCGATTAGAAAAGAGTGCCAGCCAGCACCCGTGGGCAACTGGGCACCCCCAAAAAATGTAATCAAAAATCTCTTTCTGCTCGCGGCAGACCGAAAGTTTTCAGCAACAATTTTCTAATTCCCGGCCAGGGCTGTATAAATTGAGCTGATGAAGCGCCACCAGATAATACATTCACACTTGATACTCGATAATCTCGTTGCAATGGCGCCATAAATCTTGTGGTGTATGTTCAAAAGTGTCGCTCGTTCCATTCCGCTGATTGTTGTAAACGAAAGAGGACTCCTTTGAACCCCTTTCTAAGGTATCCTTTGACCCGCTGGTAAGGTTACCCTTTCAGATGCTGGATCACTTGTCGTTTTGATATAGGTTCAGGAACCTCCCACGGAAAACCGTGGATGGCGGGATGTGCCGCAACGATGAGGCCCTGTTTTCATTAGGTATATTGAAGGTAAGCCACATCCAGTCGGCAGGCAGGGGAGGTGGATGACGTCTAGCCAATCGTCCAGTGTAAGACGTCAGGATGATACTTGGGGCAACCGTAAATGTGACCAGGGTATCTGGTGTATCGTTCGTTGGAGATGTCCCGGGTATCTCGTGTTATGATCGGCTCACCCGTCTGAAGAGACCCCCGGAAAGCCCAATATTTTCAGGCTCCCGCTTACCGATTGGACCGCTGATTCGGCCACAAAAGTGCATGCTTGATACGTTGCACTTTCATCACCACCGGAATGGAAATTAGGACAATGCCGCCGGCTTCTCGCGGTTTAAACAGTAGACCTGGATTGACTTTGTGCCTGCTGGCGTCGTTGATAGCGATTGACGCCATAGAAATTGTTTCTGGAGATTCCGGAGCTCGAGGTCCGCCCAATCGGGCGTGTCAAACACTGCTACAGTGAATAGTACCCCATGCAATAGAATGACATTCAGAATCTGCGCCCGTATTGCTACGCTAGTCGCCAGACGGGCTGTCGTTGCTAGCCGCCTCTTCACTGTTCGGATTCGAACGGCCCAATTGGCGTCAGCCAGATCCACATTTCCGACTTGGTGACCGAGGTAACGAGTCGTGAAACCCGGTTGTAGGACAGGTAAACTTGCATAGCTGGCTACTGACACCACCGTATTTAAGAAAATCACGTGGCTTTTTAATGACTGTGCT